TCTCCTCTCTCTCTCTCTCTCCCCTCTGCCATCCTCTTCCTTCTTCCCTCCTATTGTCAATTTTTCTCTACCCAGCATAATGGTCATTTTGTTGGCTGAGAAAGAAATGCAGCTTGCTAAATTGACTCAAGAAACAAAAATGTAGAGGAATTCATTTCAGTCCACACAACTGAAGAGTCCAGGATAGTTCTAACTTCACATGAGCCCACATCCACTTGTCCAAATAACACCCTCCAGATACCATCCCTTTTCAGTGCTTCATCTGCTTTCCTTCACATTGGCCTTCTTTCAGTAGATCCTTCTTTATAGTAACTCAAAATTCCACATTTATATTGTCAAGCTCTACAATCCAAGCAAAAAAGCCCTTTTATTTTTACATAGTTCTAAGAAACAAGTTCCAGAATTTAATCTTCTTTTGGACTAACTGAGATCATATTCTTATGCAGAAATTGGTTCTTCCAACCAAGAGGGAAAAAAGCATAGAGAGTTCAGTTGTAGACCACATACATGATCCTGGCACTCAAAAAATGCAACCACATGCACTAAAGGAATGTTACAGCAGTGTTGTCAAGGTGAAATGGAATGAGACAGGTCAAACCAACTGATAGGCTCCATAGAGAGCTAAGCCCCTTGGAAGGCTTGGATAAACAGCAGACTTGGAGAACCTCGCTCTGTAATGAAATGAACTCAAAACTATTATTCTCAAGCTTCCCAGCTGACTCACATGTACACTAATGTCTAAGAACTACAACTGGAGGCGCTAGAGATTTTAGCTCCCCAGGTACCTCTGGGCAATGAAGTTCAGACAGAACTCAGAAAGAAAGCTCAAAGAATTCTTCATTTTCATACCTTCACTGGGCCTCTCTTTAGTTTTTTTGTTTGTTTGTCTGTTTGTTTCATTTTATGTATTTGGTACAGGGGCTCACTATGCAGCTCAGACTCATAGTGATCCTCCTGTTTCCATCATCCCCAGCACTGGGATTACAGGCATGTGCCACCAAGCCT